AACTTTAATTTCTCATGTAGCTTTCCTTTACAATCAGATGTGCTTAAAGGTATGAAGACTTAAAGGTAAAAGTCTGGTAATCGGCATGATCCACGACGCATGCAGTGTGCGTTGCCGTGCATTAAAACTTTTGTGCACTGTTTGTGTTGCTCTTCAATAACACTTCCGAAACGTTAGCTGGCAGTGAGTTTTTTACGTTTCTCTGTGTCGAGTTTCTTCACTGGTGTTTAGTTTTTTTCTCAGCGCTACTTTAATGTACAAGTGGCTCAAACTTGTCTCATTTTGAGGTGGGAACCAGTATACATAAAACAACTTTAATCATAAGGTAAACACAAAACAAAGCTTTCCATCTGGAGCTTCTTCACAGGACTCCACACTTGAAAACACTCACTCCATTGAGTTAGCGCAGCTCTCACCTCCGCCTACACTTGTCACGGATACCAAGCTGACCAATCACAGAGCTTGCGCTACGTGTCATGTAGTTATGCAAGAGGTGCACGTCAGCGTCACCGACCGCCACAATGTGGGCTATGCAACCACTCATAGGTTGCGGCAGAGCATAAGCGTACGCTTGATGCAGAAGTATAAATCAGCCATTATCTGATAATAATGTCAGTTGATGTGCACAGAGAAGTTTGCAGAAAGAGGAAGTATGTTTGGGTGCGGGCACCATAAGACTGCAGAATGATTGAAAACTGTACCTTTTAATATCAGCTGTGTATAAATACTGGAGTCAGGGAAATGTAGATGTGTTGCGAACCTGTATTGCATATGATGTAACATAACCCAGAGCTCTGTCATCGAATTATTAATTTGTATCTACTAAATTACTAATACTATTGACATTGAACTCCTCCTGAGACTTTTATTGAACATGCATGGAATTGCAGAATACAACTTCAACAATTACAAGCGCACTTTTCCCCTTATAAAATAGATATCTAATAGAGAGAATAAATAATGGATGTGTGAATCTGAGCTGTCTACATATCTACATTTAGCGTTTGTAAAACTAAATTGACATACTGTATTTATTCTGACTTAAACGTAAAATATAAACAACAGGAAGTACTTAATGGTCCTATAATTTTAATAAATATATAACATTTTATATAAAAACTAAGTTAAAATAAATTTATATGATAAAATATGGTTATGCAGTTACAGTAAGGTCAAAACACCTACAACATCCAACCAGATTTTAGCGTGGAATTAAATAAACTTAACTAAGCTTCATTTAGTTACACGCACACTTTTCCCAAGTCGCAAAATGGGCTTGTAATGGAGAGAGTGAGAGAATGAATAATGGTAATTGAAGTCTGGAGTCTGTGTATTATGGTGTGAACTGTCTGTTCATTTGAGTTTAGAGTTTGGAGCAGCAGCACAGTAATGAACAATCATGTTCCATCGTGGTCCATTGAACTCTGATGGGGCTGATACAACATCACTCTTGTCATTTACAGACCTTCCACCAGCGGAAAGAGCAACTGCTTTTGGCTTGATGGATTATAGATTCAATTTATATCCTGCGTTCGCTTAACTGACGTTTTGGGCCACGGAAAGAAAATGACTTGCTATTTTTAATTGACTTGCGTGTGTAATGTTCACCAGTGTGGGTTTATGGGGGAGACGGGGAAGCGCTTTAAGCCTCCGCTTCTCCTCAGGACGGGGCGGCAGCGGGACTGGCGAAGTGCTAAATTGCTCTGCGTGAGTTTGGTCACGGCTGAGCTCTCCTTGAGATAATGAAATGACAATTAATCCAAAAGCTGTTGCTACTCACTCATTTACTCCCTCGCGTTCTTGTAAGTGGAGGAAGGAAGAGGCGAGGAAGCTACGGCCGAGAGAGGAATGCTAAAGCACCCGTTTGGGACTTTCATTTGCTTCGTTACACACTAACTCGCACGGAAACACAAACGCATGAACGTGTGTGAGCATACGTGCATGGCCATCCAATACTATACAATGCTTTTATGTTGAAGCTCAGATAGGGTCGATGTGAAGGACCACAACGAATAGGAACTGATCTAATCAGACAAGGATATAAAATAAATGAATGAATAGATGAACAAATAATATGACAACATCTGTTAAATTATATAATCAAGAATATATGGGTCAAAAAAGAGATGCTATTTGATGTTTACATCAAATTAATTTTTACAAAATAATTTGAACATGTAAGGAACATTAATTGTGAAAAAATAAATAAAAGTAAATTAGATTAACGTTTAATGTAAATTAGATTTATGTTTCATATAACTTTTGTAAAAATGACATGGGACAAAATAAAATAAAATAAAATAGGAACAAATAAGTAAATAAATAAGTAAAAAATATATAATAAATATCATTATTGTTATTATTATTATTATTATTATTATTATTATTATTATTCATAATAATATAATTCCTTACATTTATATAGTGTTTTTCTGGACACTCAAAGTGCTTTTTCCACATTTTTGGGGAAATATCCTCATCCACCACCAGGGTGAAGCTTTTTGTAAAGCTCTTTTCAGCCCCCAGCTTCAGACATGGGGGATTTATTATTATAGCAATGACAAGATTCTCAATATATTATTAAAGACAGCCAAAGGATACCATATGTTTGTTTTTAACCCTGTTGATGTTATTGACAATACACTTGTGAGAGGGGTCATTTGTTTTGTTGAAAAATCCCTTTTTCATTCCATACAGTAGGTGACGACTCAGATGTAAAATTGTCTAAAATTGGTCAACGAGCAATTCAAAAGTGGCAACAGAAAAGAAGCAATGATTACTTTAAAATTACTCATAAAAAATAATGATAATAAAAATTCTTTATAAACATTAGTTTGATTTCAAACAAATACATGAAGGTTTAACAAAGTCTACATGATAAAAATATCCGTAAATTGACAATTTTCCCTTTTTTGTGATTATTGTTCATTATTATTATTATTATTATTATTATTAATGCTTTTTAATTGCATTATTTGATCCCAATCTTACTTCTAACAACTTTCAATGTTGAAAGGTTTGAAAAAGTTACTTTTATGAACCGTATTAATAGTACAGAGCTGAGATCAGCATTCCATAATGCAATTCACAACCGTAAATAAACTGTAAAGAACTGTAAATCATGAAATACGGAACCTGTTAATTAACAGATATCTTTTACAGTTTACCAACATACATACATTTGAAAGCTGTTTTCATATAAAAACACTTTCTGTCTATACTAACTTTAACTTTAATACTACAGTGTGCTGTTGCATTTATTAACAAAGTTGTAGATACTGCAATATATACTGTATAATACAGTTTACTATAGTTAGTATGGTTCAAAAACGTACTATTATTTACTATAAATACTATTACAACTTCTTATTTCATGTGGGTTGAATCGTATCTTTAGAACCATATAACATGATTGAAAGCAGCTCCTAGATAACTCATAACTGTTTTCTTATATAAGAAACAAACAAGAGAAGCACCCAGCACAGTCCTTAGCTTAGCTAACAGTATTGAACATATAGATAATTATTAAAAATCATAACTTACCCTCTGATTGCTCGAGGCCTCCAACAACGTGAGCTGCCCTGTGTCCTGACAAACAGAAACGCCCCATCTCATTGGCTGGCTCTAGCCAATAAACTGGCTTTGCTGCTCTTTTACTGGTATGTACATTTCCACAGAATTTATTATTTTTAACAAGAATCTCTTCAGAAAAGAGTTTAAGTAACCCTAAATAATAAAATAATCGTGGGAAATGATTATTTTGCACCTCAGTCCTGTTGGCTGCTGGCATTGTTCATTGGTCAGGCATCAGCCAATCAAACAGCTTTACACCAGCCCCGCCCCTCCCCTGCCCAGCGCTGCTCACGCCTCTGCATCTGCGAGTGCACAGATGAGTTCTGCTACAGAGATCGCGGGAGATGTGTAGCAAAAGTCAGAGCGCGGGAGATTTGTAGTTGTACTGACGAATCTGAGAGGTTGTGAGTGCCGACCTGTGGTTGTAGAGCGAAGATGCAGTCAAATTTGCCGTGCACACGTGTGTCTGTCACTTTGTATTTGTGAATGACATTTTACAAATACACAACTATTAATCTGCAACTTCCAATTTAAAACACAAGTGTGTGGATTGTTGTGTGTGTGTGCAAATCGAGGATTTCAGCTGTTCACATCAGAGCTGTAAGTGTACATTTCAACCTACACATACAAATATTATTATCACAAGTGCTCACATTTACATTTGCAAGCTCTCGAGTTTCGCAACTGATTTACCTTCATACATTCACACCCTGTTATTTACTTATTTTATATGTTAACTTTTGGTTTTGTCTAACCTGCTTTCTGGTATCATTCTTCGACTGACTGAAACCCTGTCTACTCTCTGCATCTCAAGTACTCCATACCCTGCGAGCCACTAGACAAACTGGTGACAGTGTGAAAGCCGTCCATATTAAGGTAATCGTGAGTAGCAAACGCGAAAAGGAACGGCATCCTGCCACCCTGTAAGCGTTCATTTTAAAGACGAAATCCAGCCATATGTACTTCTGGCTACATAATTCGCAATCTCCAGAAATGTATATAGGGCTACATTTTCAAACTGAGTCTGTTTAAAAAAGGCCTAAGTGAATCTGCATTAAAAAGAGTCCACTAAATGTGTAATTTATTCATGACCTAAGGTAAACAAAGGTGTATTACAGCCATTTATGTCTTTGCGCACACAATACTTAACACTCAAACAGAGCGTGGGAACAATTAATGACACATTTCAATTTTCAAACAGGTTTATGGTCTACCCGTCAGGCCGATTACTGAAGTGAGCGGCTAATGAATGACAGCATGTTGGAAATCGCATTGTGTGATGTCAGCTGAAACTAATAAACAAAGCTGCTACAATAATTGTGTTCATAGACTGTTACCGGCATACTCCTTTTACATACCAAACCGCTTTTGTGTGCCAAAAATGCAGGTAATCAAAGCTGCGGCTTTCCAAGAAGCCAATAACAAACCTGATAATGGCTGGCTTTTGCGAGCTCTTGATTTGCTGTTTCCACGTGCGATGAAGTGGTCTGAATGTAGTCTTCAATGCTGTCTGCGAAGAGAGAAAACAGCCGTTGTTATTGTTGTTGGCGTCGTGTTTTGATGTACACGATGTCATAATGCATTTCAGATGATTTTCAAAACCTTGAACTGCAAAAGAGCACATGTGACTCATTCACACACTTTCACAAAAAAAAAAAAAAAAACAAGCATGGCCAGGAACACGGTGTACTGGAGCACCTTTGTAAACATACCCGCTGTCTCATTCATGTCCGCATTCCCAGGGAGAGAGAGAGATTACAGAGAAAAAGGTTCAATGTTAATGCTGCCAAAAACTGAAGCTGGGCAGCATTTTGTGGCTCCCAATACACGTTCATCACAAAAGATCATGCTGAAAGGTAGGGTTCAGCCAAAAATGAAATTTATGTCATTATTTACTCAGCCTTACATTGTTACAAACCTGCGTGCTTCTAAAAAAAAAAAAAAAGCTGAGATGCCAACAACAATTACCAGGTACACCGGAGCCAAAAAAACGAAACAAAATGTAGTAAAGTAATAAAGGAGTAGTAACAGCAAAAATAATCAAAATTCATACAACAATCCACATTATTTACTTATTATTTACTTGATCAAACGGATTCTCAAAAACTGTGAAAAAATTATTTAACTCAAATTCATTCATTCATTCATTTGGCTTAGTCCCTTTATTCATCAGCGGAATGAACCATCAACTTATCCAGCATATGATTTACACAGCGGATGTCCTTCCTGCTGCAACCCAGTACTGGGAAACACCCATGCACTCATTCACACACACACTATGGCAAATTTAGTTTATTCAATTCACCTATAGTGCATGTGTTTAGAATGTGGGGGAAACCGGAGTCAGTGAAGGAAACCCACGCAGACACGGGGAGAACATGCAAATTCCACTGTGAGGTAACAGTGCTAACCACTGATCCACCGTGCCACCCTTCTCAAATTCTATTATCCAAAATCGAACAAATGTTGTGCATTTAAAACAAAACTATGTTTTGCTTTAAATTAACCATACATGTTATTTACTGATAACATTGTCCACACTGATGACAAGAGTAAAAAACTAGCATCACATTTATGTTTAAAGAAAAAATGTTGACTGACAAGTAGGCTTACATGGAATCTGCACACGCAGAAATCCGCAGATTTCCACAGATTTTAGCCCATCATTGAGTCTATGTATTTAATTGTGTAAATGTGTGTAAATTTATATATTTTTTTTTTTATAATTTCAGAAATGTTATTGAATAATATGAAAAAAGTTAATATGATTTATTTATAATACAATTTGATATTTGTCTTTTAATATATATTTTATAATAGACTTGTTTTGTTCACCAGATAAGTTCATTATAAGCTATTATTTTTATTTCATATATTACGTTTTTAGCTATGATACTCACTAAATAATTCTGCATAAATTTGCAGATTTTTTACAAAATCCTCCACAGAAATAGCAAAATATTGTCTGCAGATTCTGTCTGGCCCTACTGATGGGTGAAAATAAATTATATACAGAATAAAGCATATTAACTTCTAATTGACTCACAATACAGCACTCTTCATTTCAATGATTAGCCACTCTTAAAGGCACCGTTCCCCTTAAGCCTGACTAGCCTGAACTCACGAGAAAATGTTTATATTTTACGTTTTGTCAGTTTAGTGGCTAATTCATATGAATTCGCATGAGTTCAGTCGTACAAAAATTTAGGATTTTTAAAAGGACACCCAACCCAACCCCTAAACCCAACCGTCATTGGGGGATGAGAAAATCATGCTAAATTGCATGAATAGGATATGATTTAACCACGACCACTAAATCAAAAAGTTAAGAATTGCAATGAGATAGCATTGATATTACTCACTATTTACTCAAGCTCAAGTGGTTCCAAAACCATGATGAACACTAATTAATTTATTTTTAAAGAAGGTAAAAACCTGCAACCGTTCTTTCCGTTTTCTTTCTTTTGAAAAAACAAATACTGTGGAAGTCAATGGTTAAAGGTTTTCAGCATTCTTCAAAATACCTTCTTTTGTGTTTAACTAAAGAAAGAAACTCAAACAGGTTTGGAACACGGTGAGTAAATGGTGACATAATTTTCACTTTTGGAAGTGAGATAATATATCTTAACAATTAATTTTTAATCAGAAAAAAACAAACAATCAAATTCATATAAAGTAAAAAAAAAAAAAAAAAAAGTTCCACAAAAAATAACAAAAAGTTAAAACCAAAAAAAATAAATAAATAAAAACTGTAAAAACAACTTTGCAAATGTCATCTGTATCCGATCATGAAGCACATTTATTACATATTTACTACATAGAATATAACACCTACAGTAGATTCCATATTGTGAATCCAGTCACAAAATGTCATTGTTGCGATCACCAGTTGTGTTTTTCCACTGGAGATTGCTTTCAAACAAACTACAACTCCCAGAACTCTTTGCACCCATCATCTCCTGGAGCAGTTGACAATAATCCAGACATATACACAGAGACACAGCATTAGCTTATCTCTAATTAGTAGGACTATAAAGTTACTTCACTTTCACTTTCACATGGCTGAGTCTTTCTTCATGAACATTACAAAGCGTTTTTGATTTTTGCCTTGTTCCCTGATTGATTCTTTGCCGCCTAGCTGACCTCTCACCTGTATTTTGACCATGTTTATTGAATTACCTTTATGCTCCTGTTTTGCTCATGTTTTGACTATTGCCTGTAGCCCCTTTCACAGATACAGTTCATGTGTGAACAGGCCCTTTTTGAAAATAACAGTAAAATCGTTCCAGAAATTTCAGAGAAAGAGAAGTTGTAACATCACCGGTAATTTACTGGAATGCTGCACTGTGTGAACACAGAAGGAAAATTGCCAGCAAGAGTGCGTTCATGATTAGAACACGCTGATGTGAGTCGTCTACTTCAGCCAATTTGAGCATTCAGACGCATTCACATCTGTGTTGTTTATGAAAATGAAAGCCTTTGAATACTTTTTTCCAGATACATTAAGCAGTTAGATATTAGTCAGATAACGTTTCTATGTTCCTTCTTAATGCCAACTGTGTAAAAATATATGTGTGTCCAAATATTTACTGGTATCAGTGTATGAAAGGGGCTCTTGCCTTTAGTAAACTGCATTTGAATATGCACGTCTGTTGTCAGTGTCTTTTTCGTAACAGTCATATTGCCTGCACACTGAAAACCTGACTAAAAAAAGAGGATATTTTTACTATTTTTAAGAGCTTACTGATTTTATTTAAAACGTCTTTATTTGTGTTCCAAAGCAGAACTAAGTCCTAAAGGGATTGGTATGACATGAAGGCAATTAATAACATATTTTCCATTTTGGGGTGAACTAACCCTTTAAACAATATCCAGCACAGAAGCAAAACAAACACATCATTGTGGCATCTCTCACATAAAGATTACCTAACATCCAACTGAATAAAATGAAGCACAAAAAGACATTTACCACAGCGAACTGCACTTAGAAGCACGCACAGTATATGATAATCAGCAGGAAACACACAAAGACTCGGTTATGTCCTTGCTCCCATAATTCGCAGGAAAGTCAGCCAATTATTAACTTTGAATAATCCAAATGAGTTGTCTTGTTCCAATGCACATGTACTTACACTAGCAAGTGAGAACACTGATTCAAATGCAAAGTCAATTCCCTTCCCAATTAAAAACAAATGTGCGGTTCACCACACAGGAGAGCAGAACGAAAGCAGAAGCGGGAGAGTTACAGCGGGGTTAAAGCAGGCCAGGCTCAGCTGAGGGGAACACTGTACACCTCACCTCCGCCTCGCTGGAGGAACTAATGAGGTTTTGTTTATCTTTCTCTGATTTGATTTGGTGCTGGTCTACACCACCGTGAGATGTGGAACGGGGGGAGAAGAAAAAGAGGTTTGCATAGAAAGAACCTGAAAAGCTGTGCGGGGAAGAGATGCATTCAGCAAGGGCTCATTGGAAATGTGTGATTCTGCCTATATTTCTACCTACAGAAACATTCTGATGCAGTTTTTTTGGGGGTGGTGGTGGGGGGGGGGGGGGGGGGACTAGAGGCTGTAAAGCACAAACAAATGTTGTCCCTTGTAATGTAGAAATTATATTTACAGAATATAACCTTCTGCAGATAAAATCAACATCTCTGTTTATAATCAAGCCACTTTTATTTCTTTGTACAATGGGAATTGTCTAAGCAGCTTTACTAAGAAAATTGATGAATGAAATGAAAAGGATCAAAAATTGGGTATGAAGTTTCATCAGAATCAAGCTCAGTGAAGTTCATTGATGATCCAGTTAAGTTCAATACGAATGTCACCGGTGAAGAATGTGCTTGGCTATTTAGCAGCTCTACTGACACCAACTGCATAATGTAAACATAAAGGACGCAAAGGTAATGCCCCACTGTAGAATCAGTGTTGCATTCAACAAAATACTATTAATTCTGGGTATACCTAGGCATGGTCAAATAGTAAGTGAGCCTCACTACCTAACAAAAATTTTGCCTGTGTAAAACTATTACACGTTACATAAGCTGTCTATCAGAAAACAAACTGTTACGTTGCACATGAGATTAATCACTGGAGCGCCCTCAACATTTGCATGTAACTCAGATTATGTTTGCTTACAACAGGAGTGTCCAAACCCGGTCCTGGAGGGCCGGTGTCCAGGAGAGTTTAGCTACAACCCTAATCAAACACACCTGAATTAGCTAATCAAGCTCTTAATAGATATACAAGAAAGTTCCTGGCAGGTGTGTTGAGACAAGTTGGAGATAAACTTTCCAGGACACTGACCCTCAAGCACCAAGATCGGACACCTTTGGCTTACAAACTTTACTAGTGAGATTAGAAAGTAAGATAAGTTCCCCTTCGGGGGGAACTTCAGCACTATAAGTGGATTTGATTGTAAAATCCACGCATTGGGAGGTTCGGTTCAGAAGCTACTCGTCTGAAAGAGTATTGAACGGGCCAATTAAGAATGAATTGGCAGCGCAAGCCTGCG